TTGGTAGCCCAGGCTGGCCTCGAACTCACAGAGATCCGCCTGGCTCTGCCTCCCAAGTGCTGGGATTAAAGGCGTGCGCCACCACCGCCCGGCTAGTGTGCCATTTTCTATCAATCATGTATTAAGGTGAAACAAAGACTCGTTTTTAATCTGTGTGTATGTGTTTGTACACATGTGTGTGGAGGTCAGAGTGTCCTTGGGGGTTGGTCCTTACCTTCTACCTTGACTGTTTGCAACAATGTATGTCAGGCTCGGTGGCCTGCGAGCATCCAAGAATTCTTCTGTCTGTCTGGGCTTCTCATTCCCCACAGGAGTGCTGGGATTACAGACATGACCCACTGCCTCTCATCCCCCACAGGAGTGCTGGATTACAGACATGACCCACTCCCTCTCATCACCCCCGACAGGAGTGCTGGATTACAGACATGACCCACTTCCTCTCATTCTCCCCCACAGGAGCACTGGATTACAGACATGGTCCACTGCTTCCCATCCTGGGATTACAGACATGGCCTATGGGCCCTGGTTTTCATATGGGTCCCAGGGATTCAGACTCTGGTCTTCATGCCTTCAAAGTAAGCCCTTTATCCCCTGAGCCATTTCCCTAGCCTGAAATTAAGACATTTTTAGGGGCCAGAGAGATGACTCAGAGGTTAAGAGTGTTTGGTGCTCTTCCAGAGGATCCAGGCTCAGTTTCCAGCACCCATGTTGAATAGTTCACAGCTGCCTATAACTCTAGCTCCAGGGAATCCAACACCCTCTTCTGGCCTCCTTGGGCACCTGTGTGCATGTGGAAAACACACACAAGGATGCATAAATAAAAACAAATGCTTTTGTAAAAAAAAAAAAAAACATTTTCAGTTCTCAATAATTCTCAACAACGCAGCTCTCATATATTCTTTTCTTGAGTCACTATAGAGCAGTGGTTGGTTCCCAACCTTCCTAAGGCTGCCACCCTTTAATACAGTTCCTCATGTTGGGGTGACCCCCTAACCACAAAATAATTTTCATTGCTACTTCATAACTGTAACTTTGCTACTCTCTGAATCACAATGTAAATATGTTTGGAGACAGAGGTTTGGTGAAGGGGTCAAGACCCACAGGTTGAGAAGCCCCGCTTTAGAGCAACACAGATCACCAGACACAGAGAATGAGGGGAATAAAGCGGGAATGATAAATAGGACCCGTGTAGAACCCCGGCACGGGATCACACGGGTGATCCCCAGTGTGACTGAGGAGGAAGGTCTAGAATGGAGTCAGAGCAAATCCAGGCAAAAGACTGTCCTGCATGGAGTGCCACGGTGGACAGTCGCCAAGGAGGGCAGGGGGTCTCCCCAAGAGACTAAAACTGAGATGGTTGCTGACTTCTAGCAGATTCAGGATGTTTGTGTTTCTGGTGAATTCTCTGAGGAGGAATTAGTGGTAAGCCTAGAAAATGAAGCAAACGAAATGTTTCTCTTTGGGGGAAGAAAAGGCAGATGAGACATGGCGATAGCACCCCGCCTGACTCTGCTCAAAATCCCCCCTGTGCCACGGCAACACACGTGATGCACTTTGAACATTGAAGTTGAGAATCCGCGCTGTAATGTGGGAGAGGGTGTGAGGAGCGGAGCTGGTGTGGGACGAGTGTGTGTTGAAGGTGAACATTCTCTTCCAGGGACAGCCAGTCCATAGTCAATCTCTAGAACCAGAAACAATCAAGAAATGGGGTGTGTATTAGGCGTCTGCCATTGTTGTGTGATGTGCCCCAAATGCAGCTGCTTGTAACAACATGGCACAGCCCAGAAATCCTGCCCAGTTCTCACTGGGTGGCAGCAGGGACCAAGGTCAAGCTCTCAGAAGGGCTCCTTGCTTTCTGGAGACTCTGAGGAGAAGCCACTCCTTGCTTTCAGGACCAGAGGCAGCTCACATCCCTTGGTTTGAGGTCTTCTTCCACCAGTGTCCAAGTCAGCAATGATGGATTTAGTCTGACTTCTGCTTCGTTTTCCTACTTTTAATGTGCCTCATGAGTACACTCATCTACCCAGATAATCTTGAGAAATCCCCCCATTCTTAAGTCTGCTGATTGACAGTCTTGATTGTCCTAGCTAAACAACCTGAGGTCAACCCAGGGTCTGGGAATCTAACATGGATGTCTTTGGGAGTGAGTACCGCAGCCAGGTTCCAGGTATAAGTGCATCCTGGAAGCTGTGAGAAGGCACTGGAAAACACCTTCTAAGGAGAGGTGCTGTGGAGAGCAGGGAGAGGAACCTGTTAATTTTCCTCATAAACTGGGACTGCTATCTACTAGTTTAAAAGGCCTTAAGTGATGCACAGCCTTAATTAAAACAATAATGGAACCATACAACTGCCAGAGCCAGGGAGGCATTCTAAACAAGAAAGCAACTGGTCACACTCACCTTTCCAGAAAGTTCCTACTTGAAGTGGTGTAGACTTAGAGGTGAGGGTCAAACCAAACCTGCTCATGAGTACTATGATCAGGGAGGCATCACAGATGTCTGGCTTTACTAACATCCCGAAGATGGGATCAAAGCCCCCACTGAAAAAAAAAAGGTAAACGAAAGTTGGTGTGTTTAAAATCTGTATCCAGATGCCAGTACCAGCACTCAGTTCCTCAATGGTGTCTGTGTGACTTCCATTACAGATAAGGACTCCCTAGCAAAGGAACCAAGTGTTCATTATAATCAGACACAAGCAAGCATGTGGTCAGTGCTTGCCACAATAACATCCCACATTTTGTAGACACAGAGGTACCCCTTTCAGGTCTCCCTGGGGCTCTTGTGAGGGCCATAGGACCAATGGAGAATTTATGTTCTCTCAGCATTAACTTCTCAATATTTCCTTAATTTAAAATTCATGCCAAGTTCAGTAGTAAGACAAGGAAAATCACTAAGAGTTAATGGTCCATTGAAACAAACACCGACTTACGTTAATAGTTCAAAGTTAAAATTCTTTCAGTTCAGTTCCCAGGATTAACAACTTTCCTCCAGACACCTTGTGTGTGTGTTGGGGGAGGGGGATGTTTTAAGATAGTCCATTGATATAGGAAACACATCTATACTGAATATTACAATAAACCTCTAACAGGCAGGTGCGTGGGGGTTTATGGGCTGGCAGGCTAAGTCTGCAGGGAAATGAAAATCACCCCAGTTTTATAGACTAGGAAGCCAAGACCGAGAAAGGGGACAGAACTTGAGGTGGATATACAGCTAGTATGAGCTGTGGTTAGAACCAGTGCCCCTTGGCTCGGAATAGTCTAGGTGCCTGGCTACCTTTGAGGAAGTAAGACTCACCCTCTCCACACAGCAAGCTTGAGCTGCAGGCACACCAGTAGAAAGGAGCTCAGCTTACAAGGCAAGGCAAAATGATCTGCAGAAAACCCAAGGCCAGTATGCCCACATCCTGACAAACCACAAAAATCTAGACGTGCTAGGAGGAGCCACTCCCTGGAGCCTCGTGTTCCCTTGGCTGCTGGCTACCTTTAGCCGAGAAGAGGTGCTGAGTCAGGGGCTTGGGGTACGTTTGAGGAGAAAGTCTTGGAAGTGAGTTGAGGGTTGGCTTAGATTTACAGCCATACGGATCATAAGAACAAGTCTGAGTCCTGGGTATATTTTGATGCTTAAGCTAACAAGGGTTCATGACAGAATGAGAGAAAATAAGTTGTCAAGGACAACATAAAAGCTAGTGGCCTCCCACGGGAGAGAGACCCAGAATTCCCTGGCACTGCTCAGGAGTGACAAGCTACAAGGCATTTACTTAAACTGCTCCATTTCTTTAAAAGTTGCGAAAGCTTGAAAGTTATTTGAAATCTCAGTTACTATTCTGAACAAAAAAAAAAAAAAAAAAAAAAAAAAAAAAAAAAAAAAAAAAAAGCCCAGGATGCCTCAAAGATCACAACTCGAGTTGTGACTCTAAATCTACCAGAAGAAAACATAGGAGAACTACTTCAAGGTGCTGCCATGGGCAATGGTTTTCTCAGTGGAATCCCCAAAGCACAGGAAACAAAGGCAAAGCAGACAAATGGGACTGGACCAAACTAAAGTCTGCAAAGGAAACCATCTAGGGGGTAAAGAGACAGCCTTCAGAACGAGAGGAGATAGTTACCAGCCCCTGATCTGACAAGGGGTCAACGTCCAGAATATGTAAAGAACTCAAAAGAACTGACGATATAAAACAAATAATTCAATTTTTAAATGATCCTAATTCCTCTCCACAGGAGAAATACAAGTGGTGAATATTTATATAAAATGTGCAGTATGGTTAGCCTTCAGGAAAAGGCATCTCAAGGAGACATCATCTTAACTCAGTTAGGATGGTTATTATCCAAAAAGTCAAAACAAGGGCTAGAAAGATGGCTTGGTGGATAACAATACCTGTTCTGAAAGCATGGAGACCTGAGTTCAATTCCCCAGTGCCCACATAAAATGATCCCGGCATCCATTGCTATGCCAGCCCGCCATTGAAGAGTGGAAGCAGGAGGATCACAAGCAAGACGCTAGCCATCCAGTCTAGCCAAAACAGCAACCGTCTGGTCCAGTGAGAGACCCTGTCTCAAGGCAATAACGTGAAGAGTGGCAGAGGAAGGGGCCTGGTGTCCTGCTGGCCTCTCCTCATGTGTATCCATAGACATATGTACCTACACACACACACACACACACACACACACACACACACACACACACACACACAGACAGACAGACAGACAGACAGACACAGACACAGACACAGAGAGAGGGATGGAGGGAGGGAAGGAAGGAGGGAGGGAGGGAGGGAAGGAGGGAGGGAGAGAGAAAGCTATTTCACATTCTCCATCATCCTCTGATTATCTTCCTGTTTGGG